TGTAGGATTATGAAGGAGAGAGGTAATAGTAAGGAATTATAGGAGGAAGAGAGATAATAGTAAGGAATTATAGGAGGAAGAGAGGTAATAGTAAGGAATTATAGGAGGAGGGGAGATAATAGTAAGGAATTATAGGAGGAAGGGAGATAATAGTAAGGAATTATAGGAGGAAGAGAGATAATAGTAAGGAATTATAGGAGGAAGAGAGATAATAGTAAGGAATTATAGGAGGAAGAGAGATAATAGTAAGGAATTATAGGAGGAAGGGAGATAATAGTAAGGAATTATAGAAGGAAGAGAGATAATAGTAAGGAATTATAGAAGGAAGGGAGGTAATAGTAAGGAATTATAGGAGGAAGAGAGGTAATAGTAAGGAATTATAGGAGGAAGAGAGATAATAGTAAGGAATTATATGAGGAAGAGAGATAATAGTAAGGAATTATAGGAGGAAGAGAGGTAATAGTAAGGAATTATAGGAGGAAGGGAGATAATATTGGCTCTTGTAAAAAAATGTCTTTCAATGATTATCATGGTTTCCTTTACTGGCCAGCTTTTTACTAAATCATAGACGAACCACATGTCGGTGTTTGACTCTGACAAGTAATATGGATAGTTTTATTAATTTGGGTTCTAAAAGCTGACAACTGTATTCTTTAATATATCTATAAAGTTGAATTGAAATGACAATCCGAAAAATACCCCAAAAACAGAAAAAATAATTGATAATCCTGAACATGTCAGAGAGGAATTAGTTAGAATGACGTACAGAAACCTCGCCCTATAGATATATCGTCATAATAACATGTTTTAATGTATAAACACATCTTAAAATAAAAATATATATTAATATTTCACCAATGTGAAGATATTTCTTGTCAACCCTCTTGTTAGATTGTTGTAGGACCACACTACCTCATCCAAACCTTTCTTCAGACACCTTAAAAAGCCACACAAAAAGCATCGACGGATGTCTTCTGCTACGGACAGTAGCCTAAAAACTGAACAACAATGGAGATTTTTCCCTCACCACCAACAAGCCTGACCACGCCTAAATTTATTACTTCAAATTCTGGCGTAGATGGCGTTTTGTGCACATCGAGATATTGCCTTCTTTAACTCGAGATGTAAAAGCGACTAACCCTGACGCAAAAACAATCAAACGTTCGACACTTTTAGATACAACGGAGTCGTGTCGTTACCGAGATATTCTGTGAGGACAGATTGAGGTGTAGAGAGGACCCAGATGAAATCCGTTCTTTGGTTACCTCGTACCATAACGTTGAAAATCTTAACCTAAAATCTAGGCTACAATGGCGTGATATGATGACCGAGATATTTCCTCCAGTAAGGTAAGCTATAAACGGTGATGTTAGGTGACAAGGGGAGTGATATATGTCAACTTTTATAGCTAACAAAGATTCATTTCACAATCTTAGTTACAATTTTATAGATTAGGTGAAGAATCGTATATATATATATATATATATATATATATATATAGCATGGCGTTCACCTCAAGTTTTACCCTTATTTTTGGATTACTTTCGTCTTTTTGTAAGTATTGTCTGTACTTTCGGATTCATTTTAAATATGGTAATACAGAAACATAGTCCAGATATGGAAAATCAAACGAAAACTTGCGTTTAAAGTCATTTATTACGTCTATCATTATTTTCGTCAGTTTTTAAATACGTGTGGTAGACATATACAAAAGTCTGATTTTGATTTTAAAGGTTAATTAAGTGAGTGCTCTTATTTCCTCGTCCACCTTCAATATTGAATAGTTCCGAGGATGACGAGGATGAAACTCATGTTGATTTTTTTGCGATGAATTATGGCTTAATAAATATTTTTTAGTTTTATATGTACTGAAAAATTCTCTCCATAAGGAACGTAGATAGAACGTTGAAAATAATAAATATCGATCAAATTCTTTTTGTTAGATGGTCAATCTTTCTACTTTTCATGGGAAATAACTTATACTAGAATATGTATTCGCGTATGTATGTATTCACGTATATATGTATTTCAAAAGAATGCCAATATCTTACGTATGTGTATACAGTGACGTATGTCGTGATGTCGACCAGAAAACTTTTTAATACAGACTTTCAATATTAAGGAGATACATGACGGTAGACATGAGTTTGTCCTTATAAAATAAATGAGACACCATCAATGAAAAGGTCTGGAACGTTCAATAACCATCAATGAAAAGGTCTGAAACGTTCAATAACCATCAATGAAAAGGCTTGGAACGTCCAATAACCATCAATGAAAAGGCCTGGAACGTCCAATAACCATCAATGAAAAGGCCTGGAACGTTCAATAATCATCAATGAAAAGGCCTGGAACGTTCAATAACCATCAATGAAAAGGCCTGAAACGTTCAAAAACCATCAATGAAAAGGCCTGGAACTTCCAATAACCATCAATGAAAAGGCCTGGAACTTCCAATAACCATCAATGAAAAGGTCTGAAACGTTCAATAACCATCAATGAAAAGGCCTGGAACTTCCAATAACCATCAATGAAAAGGCCTGGAACGTTCAATAACCATCAATGAAAAGGCCTGGATTGTTCAATAAGACAACTATTTAAATATTAATACCAAATACTAAATGACAAAATAACAACAAGCCGTGTAAACAACATATTGTTACCGTTTCTTGTCGTCGATTACAACATTCATTGTTCGACTGGATTAATAAATAGTTTTAAACGTAGCATTTATTTATTTCTGAATATATTTAAAGTATAACTGTAACAGTGAGATAGATATAACTAGAAATTAAAGTCAGATCGTTCAAGATTTCACCGTGTATGAATGTTATTCAGTGTGATTGTTGACAAATATGATAAGTTTCTTCCGAGTCATGAAGGTTTTTTGTGTGCCAGAGGTTGCATACGACCTTCCAAGGGCAATTTCTCCTCGGTCAAACCCCAAGGGTACATGATTCCTTTAAAATAGTGAACTCAGGGAGACAAAACAACAGAGGCTTATCATAGACAAACACATGAAAACATGAATCATTTTTAGTCCTAGCCACTTTAAGCCACCCGCTGACCACTCCCTTACATCATGCAGAAAATTCCTAGTTCGCTACTTTTCTACTCGCTCAACTACATGCATTTTTATTCAGTCAGCAAATTACTTTTTGTATATCTTCTTTTCAGGTTTGTCCCCAGTTTTGACACAGAACTCCTTGATAGATTTCTTAAAGAATGTCCAAGGAGGTAACACCCCTGCAGCTTCACAAGCACCCCTCGCTCCCATAGATCCCGGGGCGATGGCAAGATTTTTGCCCAAAGAACCGACGAATCAAAACCAACTTCCAACACTTACAATCGCTACATCCAATGTTCCTGTGATAACCAAAGGCAACATTATTATCGCTGATCCAACAACGGGGGGCGGGGGTAATGGGGGAGGCAACCATGGGAGTGGGGGCAACAATGGCGGAAGTAACGGGGGTGGGGGAAACAATGGAGGCGGGGTAATAAATGGTGGAGGAGGCAACGGTGGAAGTAACGGGGGTGGAGGGAACAATGGAGGCGGGGGAAACAATGGAGGATGGGGCAACGGCGGAATTAACGGTGGGTCTGGTAACAATGGTGGTGGAGGTAATGGTGGATGGGGAAATAACGGTGGGAACAATGTCGGCTGGCCACCTTTCACAAACAATCCTATATTTTCTATTGTTGACACCATGGCGAGGAAAACTGTGTTAAGGAGACTGAAGTGTAAAACTGTGTCCCAGGTCTATGGGTTCGGAAAGTTTTTATCCCCTTGTTATGATGGTTGTCCAATGACCCACAATTGTATTCCAATTGATCCCAGAAGAAGACGATCTATAGGTTATTGTTGTCCCTATCCTGGTGAGTACGGATTGTCTTTCCTTGAATTCTCGAATCTCATGTCAAATGATCCCGTTTTACTCATAGAAACTAGGTTCATTTTTATTATCAAATCGGTTAAGTTTGAAATTTCTTTTGCATATTTTTCGTTCATCAGTCGCAAAATTGGCTCTGTCAATTTTATACTTGAGTACCTAGCTTCAACCTGAAAATTGTTTTAGTGAGTCCCAGTTTATCTAATGTTAACATGGATATTCTGAAAGAGTATATTTCGATGTTTCAGAAAAATACATATGGGAGTGGTGCCAGTTGAGCCCCTCCAGCACGTGGACTTAATCCTGTCAAATATTTCTATATATTTTACTTCTTCACGTTTCGTTATTGCGAAATAGAATTTATATAAGAAATGTTTGCGATTGCGAAAGAAAGAAGTTGATATATTACAACAGACTTGACACCTGTTATATTGTATATCCTTCAAAACCCAAGAAAATCATAAATTATCTTTTCATCCGGACAATTTCCTCCTCGTTATATCAAACCATCGACAGAAATTTTTTTTTCAAAGAAATTAAATACCAGTCTAATTTTAATACATTCTTATAGTTTTCTATGATTTACTTCACTTATTCTTGTCTACTTTACAAATATTTACAGAACCGATCTGGTTATTTATTTCTTTTACTTCAATCATTCATTTTTTCTAATTCCAGTGACAGAAGAGTGGGTAAAAATCAAAACAATGTTGTCTCGATATGGGACATTCTCAGAGATGATGAGTTAGTGTACAGATTCTCGGACTATAAGACGGATATCGGACTATCTATTATTGGTACCTGTATTCTGTAGACTATATTTGGTGGTAGACTGGATTAATCTTCTGATTAAGGATATCTAATAACGTGCTGGAGATCAATTTAACCAATTGTTCTGTGCTTCGTGGAGTTTTGAAATCGAAGAGTTAAAATTTCGTTGATTAACTTTTAATTCCTCATTTCGTTTATTCTATGAGACAGTGGAGCCTGGAGATAGTGTTAAAAGTTAGTGTTGACGACATAATACAATGTTATCTTTATAATGTTAAGTTTTTGTGAACTTCGTTTTTATACCTGGACTGTAATGACCACCTTAATGTATCATTGAGCTTTGTAAATTTTGATTGGATTGTTGGATTGAAAATCTGTAAACACTAAGCCATAATATCGGGGGCTATAATTGACTTGTGGCAAATGCAGTCAAGGTATAAGATGAAGTTCGTAATAGCTTGACATTGTGTAGATAGGACAATGTAGGAACAATACAATCTGCTAGTTAGTTTCATTATGATGTATATACATGGAATATGAAGATTAAATATTCTGTAAATCATGATAGTGAGTTTTTTGTTTTTGAATTAGTTTAATATTCTTGAACCAAACTCAAAAGACTTTAGTATAATAAACACTGTGGTGGGTGTTACTAGCTAGGCAGAACAAGGCCATCCGAACACCTGGGGCCACTCTTCAACTGGGTTTATCCAATCGTCGTTCATTTCAGAGAGTCCACATAGCTTAAAATGTTTATTTGGTATTTAGGTTTGTCAACTCAGTATCCCTTTCAGAGAGTTCACATAGCTAATATTGTATATTTAGTTCTTCTATTAACGTTGTTTATTATGATAATGTAAACATGGTGTTAACTAGAATATAACTGGTATATAGAAACTATCCTATGAATGATGATGAATACTATCCAGTTTTAATTTTTTAATCATATCATCTCGTAGTTGATATTTCATCACTTTTCCTGTCACAGTTAGAGGAAAACTTTTAACAAACTCAACATAGCGTGGGACTTTATATCTAGCTAGCTGAAAATACAATCCAAATAAAACTTATTAGATCATAATAAAAGAGATTATAGAAAGATTGTCTCGCTTTTTATGTGTATCGAGCACATTTTGCCACAATACAATTTTACTTCAGATGTCTGTGGTTCCTGTAATTATAGAAATAATAGAACCTTTGCGATAGTACCGTATTAAAACGCTTAGTTTGAGGGGAATTGCAAAAACCACAGACGTCTAACTGGAACACAATTAACCTTGTACAAAGTTGACAAATTCAGTCGCACAGTGAAACGAGGTTTATGATAAATAATATATCAATAATAATAAAGTTGACGAACCTTGTCACTACAGTATTGTTTGATATCTTCTGGAGAAGTTTTAACGTTAGATTTTAATTCTATACAGGCACAGATTTCTTCTCCTAGTCTGTTATCAGGTATACCAACAACCTATAGTAATAGATACAGTACATATTTTAATATTTAATATCCTAGTCTGTTATCAGGTATACCAACAACCTATAGTAATAGATACAGTACATATTTTAATATCTAATATCATGGTCTGTTATCAGGTATACCAACAACCTATAGTAATAGATACAGTACATATTTTAATATCTAATATCATGGTCTGTTATCTGGTATACCAACAACCTATAGTAATAGATACAGTACATATTTTAATATCTAATATCATGGTCTGTTATCAGGTATACCAACAACCAATAGTAATAGATACAGTACATATTTTAATATTTAATATCATGGTCTGTTATCAGGTATACCAACAACCTATAGTAATAGATACAGTACATATTTTAATATCTAATATCATGGTCTGTTATCAGGTATACCAACAACCTATAGTAATAGATACAGTACATATTTTAATATCTAATATCATGGTCTGTTATCAGGTATACCAACAACCTATAGTAATAGATACAGTACATATTTTAATATTAAATATCACAGTCTGTTATCTGGTATACCAACAACCAATAGTAATAGATACAGTACATATTTTAATATTTAATATCACAGTCTGTTATCAGGTATACCAACAACCTATAGTAATAGATGCAGTACATATTTTAATATTCAATATCACAGTCTGTTATCAGGTATACCAACAACCAATAGTAATAGATACAGTACATATTTTAATATCTAATATCACAGTCTGTTATCAGGTATACCAACAACCAATAGTAATAGATACAGTACATATTTTAATATTTAATATCACAGTCTGTTATCAGGTATACCAACAACCTATAGTAATAGATACAGTACATATTTTAATATTTAATATCATGGTCTGTTATCAGGTATACCAACAACCAATAGTAATAGATACAGTACATATTTTAATATTTAATATCACAGTCTGTTATCAGGTATACCAACAACCTATAGTAATAGATACAGTACATATTTTAATATTCAATATCACAGTCTGTTATCAGGTATACCAACAACCTATAGTAATAGATACAGTACATATTTTAATATTTAATATCACAGTCTGTTATCAGGTATACCAACAACCTATAGTAATAGATACAGTACATATTATAATATCTAATATCCTAGTCTGTTATCAGGTATACCAACAACCAATAGTAATAGATACAGTACATATTTTAATATATAATATCATGGTCTGTTATCAGGTATACCAACAACCTATAGTAATAGATACAGTACATATTTTAATATTTAATATCACAGTCTGTTATCAGGTATACCAACAACCTATAGTAATAGATACAGTACATATTTTAATATATAATATCACAGTCTGTTATCAGGTATACCAACAACCTATAGTAATAGATACAGTACATATTTTAATATTCAATATCACAGTCTGTTATCAGGTATACCAACAACCTATAGTAATAGATACAGTACATATTTTAATATTTAATATCACAGTCTGTTATCAGGTATACCAACAACCAATAGTAATAGATACAGTACATATTTTAATATTCAATATCACAGTCTGTTATCAGGTATACCAACAACCAATAGTAATAGATACAGTACATATTTTAATATTTAATATCATGGTCTGTTATCAGGTATACCAACAACCTATAGTAATAGATACAGTACATATTTTGATATCTAATATCACAGTCTGTTATCTGGTATACCAACAACCTATAGTAATAGATACAGTACATATTTTAATATTTAATATCCTAGTCTGTTATCAGGTATACCAACAACCTATAGTAATAGATACAGTACATATTTGAATATATAATATCATGGTCTGTTATCAGGTATACCAACAACCTATAGTAATAGATACAGTACATATTTTAATATCTAATATCATGGTCTGTTATCAGGTATACCAACAACCTATAGTAATAGATACAGTACATATTTTAATATCTAATATCATGGTCTGTTATCAGGTATACCAACAACCTATAGTAATAGATACAGTACATATTTTAATATTTAATATCACAGTCTGTTATCAGGTATACCAACAACCTATAGTAATAGATACAGTACATATTTTAATATTCAATATCATGGTCTGTTATCAGGTATACCAACAACCTATAGTAATAGATACAGTACATATTTTAATATCTAATATCACAGTCTGTTATCAGGTTTACCAACAACCTATAGTAATAGATACAGTACATATTTTAATATTTAATATCACAGTCTGTTATCAGGTATACCAACAACCTATAGTAATAGATACAGTACATATTTTAATATATAATATCATGGTCTGTTATCAGGTATACCAACAACCTATAGTAATAGATACAGTACATATTTTAATATCTAATATCACAGTCTGTTATCAGGTATACCAACAACCAATAGTAATAGATACAGTACATATTTTAATATTAAATATCACAGTCTGTTATCAGGTATACCAACAACCAATAGTAATAAATACAGTACATATTTTAATATCTAATATCACAGTCTGTTATCAGGTATACCAACAACCTATAGTAATAGATACAGTACATATTTTAATATCTAATATCACAGTCTGTTATCAGGTATACCAACAACCAATAGTAATAGATACAGTACATATTTTAATATCTAATAACATGGTCTGATTCAAAATGGTTGTGAACTACGTCCATGTGTTTTTTCATCTAAGAACCGTACATGGTTATGGCCCAAGCGTCTGACTATTGCATGTGATGTCAAATCTACCTGGACATCTTTAACAGCGGGATGTTGATAAAGTATCTGTTCTATTTCTGTAGGGTAAACATTCTCTCCTCCTCGAATTATCATATCTTTAATTCTTCCTACAATTTTACAATATCCATCTTCATCAATCTCTGCTATATCTCTACAACGAAAAATTCCAGATTAGGTGATGGCGAAAGTCTCTTAGAAGTGGGTATACAAAGGGGGCAGAGTGACAAAGGAGGAGCGGGAGTTGGGGGTGAGGTTGACAACTGTCAGGGTTGAGATTCGCAGCCCTTCCAATAAGGCCTGAAAAGAGTTTTGAAAAATACGAGTGGTTTTTGTAGACTCGTATTCTCCTTGCACCATAACATGATGACAATCTTGCTTATAGATGCCCTGTTCTACTTGTTCCAAAGTCAGATAATATCATAAGGTTTTGTATAGATTATTAATGGTTAATCAGAACGTATCACCAAGATTCTTGCTTCATAAATAAACATGTACAAGTGAAAAATGATAATGTTAATGTTCCAACACTAGATCTAAGCACTGGATTCTGGCAAATTGCGATAATAGATGTGTAATTTTGTATTGTTTATAACGATTTGTTGGTGATGAAATAAAAGACACCTTGTTCTTTAATTGTGGTCTGAATTTAGTTCAAGCTGAAAAGAAAGATAATGTCTTAGAGATAAGTTTGCCGAGGAATACAGGCAAAGTCCTACCACGATGTTATCCATGAAAATTTGATATTTCATGCTATGTAGAGTAAGGCAAAGTCCTGATTTTAATGAACATTAACGAGTGTCGTAAAACCATTACACACCTCAAGTGTTCAAAAATTATTAGCACATGGAAGGTAACACATGATAATAAAAAAATACTGGTAATAAAAAAACAACACGTCTTACCCTGTATGGAACCAGTTTGATTTTGAAATAACCTCGTCGGTTTTATCATGATCATTCCAGTAGCCTAACATAGTGGTATAACCTCGAGAACATAACTCTCCTGGCTGTCCTACCGGTACTATATTACCGTCAGTATCTACTACCTTAGCCTACAGATTTAGGAAGATAATATAGCTAGGGTTAGATATGTTGTATTACAAACAGTACAATATTAAGAAGACAGAGCTGCCCTGCATGATGATATAAAGAGCAACCAGCTTAAAGGGATTGTAAAGAGGTTTCATACATTTTTTATGTGTATCGTTGGCATCAAATTGGACCATTCCAATATTCAGTCAGACGTGGTTCTTGCAACTTAAAGTTTTTGAAATAAAGTACAGTATTTTAAAACGTTTAAAAGCAGTATACAGAGGATATGACTTACAATCAAGAGTAATTAACAGCTATCGTTCTAGTCGGTTGAATACGCTTGAAATCAAATCTTTTGCAAACTTCGACAATCATCGTCAAACATGTCAAAAACAATGTTGTCTCTATTTGTGTAAATGAGGTGATCGTGAAGTGTTTATACAAACCTCTACATGGCTACCAGGAAGTCCTACTGTTGATACTCGTTTAGCTACTGGACTGTTTCTAAAACTACTGAACGTAACTGGACTGGTTTCTGTTAAACCATAACATACCTGGGCATTAGAAGAAAAATTCAGTTGAAAACTGAAGTGAAAAATTGATGTCCAATCTAGGTGGCGTTTCAAAATTGAAATATAATTAACGAAATTTTACGTCCTACTCTTCTTCTTCTAATTGGGCAAATGCCATGCAGTGTGCAAAGAGATCTTCAACCAGCACAGCCTGTAGCACATAGGATCTCGGTTTATTAATTGAACTAATAGAAGATTTTGATGTCAGCTTTCCGAGCTGCATCAAGGGTTGAAAGGTATTACCTTGACGCATGCTGAGATTGAACCCTGGACCTTTAGGCTAGCGACCAAGTGTCTTACTCACTGAGCCACAGTGGCTCCCAGTGGGGTTTCAAGGCTGGCCCTATAACCGACTGTGTAACAGAACCCGCAATTTGAAATTTTAACTGAACAACTTACTATGACTTCTGGCATGTGCATCTTAGAGTTGACCTCCTTCATGACCTCTACAGGACAGGGTGAACCAGCCATGACTCCAGTGTAGAGTGATGAGAGATCATATTGAGAGAAGTTGGGATGATTCAACATATCAATAAACATAGTAGGAACTCCATAAAGAGATGTACACCTGCAATATCAGATATAACTTGTTCATCCAATAAACCATCTCAATCTTTCCACATCGTAAAAAAATATCCATCGGTTAAGTCTGGGACGTAAAACTCCATTCATTTCAATTCATTTTACAAATTAAGTCTATGTCAGAAATGTGGAATTATCAATTGAAAATAAAAACATAAAAGAAAATATGGTTGTTTTCGAAATAACTGCCAGAAACCTGTTCTAAGTCAAATTCACTTAACGAGATTACTAAATATTAAAGAGAGTGTGGTTGTAATAGTATGACTTAAATCATCAATAGTAGATTGTAAATTGGTATAGGTGCACATTAATCATTATTATTTGCAAGGTTTTCCTTGCAATCTTTTTCATGTTGGAGACTATAGCCTGACTGAATAGAACGACTTAAATCATAATTGTCCAAAATATTTAAGCAAGACTGCAAAGCGCCGGATTACTCCCTAAAAATGTAAACATTATCCCCTTGGAAGTAATTAATTGCTCCCCAGGTTGAAAACTGCTGAACTAGAGCAAACTTACTTCTCGTCCTGGACTGTTTTTAGCGTAAGTTCCGGTTTGAATCCTATAGCTGGGAAAACAACACAAGAACCGTGTAGAGCTAGCTGTAAACTTCCAATTACCATCCCAAAACAATGATACAGTGGTACTGGCACACAGACACGTGTTTCCTACATATAATTTACAAAATATAATATACTATAAACTAAACAGGTTCTATGATGAAACCAAGGTCAGATGTCTATAAAGAATTTATTCGATTTGAGCTCCACTATAATAGTACTGCTAACTCTTCTAAAACACCCGATGATACTCTGCTGTTAATTCTGTCAACTCGGCATCCCTGGATGAGAAATACATGGCTTCCGTGTTTCTTTTGGAACATGGTATATGGTATACCATTCTATGATTGATAAAAACAACGTTGTTAGAACAAACGTTCAAATAGTGATTAACTTAATGAGTTCTTCTTCTAAAACTGGCTCGACTTCTGATGGAAGTTAAAGTTGTTGTAACGATGAAACTTACCCGCCGATGATAGTCTAATCTCACCCCTACAGTGTAACAATTATTTACTATATTATGATGGGACAGTGTCACTCCTTTTGGCGAGCCGGTTGTACCCTGAAATTTACAATTTTGACAATTTCATGCCAACAAAAAAGATTTCATCTTAGTGATCTTTGGTGAGAATGTGGAGGATGGGAAACTGGATGTTGACTGATTCCTCCAACTGTAACTTATCCTGAAGATCTATTGTTATAAGCACAGGACTGGACAGTGAGTAGTTGATTGTGCTCTCTGATTGAGAAAGGATGAGGAAGGGGGCAAACTTACTGATGTAAACTGAATATTGATTGGATCATCAAACTGTAGTTTATCTTGAAGATCTAAAATAGTCCGTCTATCTTTACTACTACCATTGTCTAATATATCTTGAAACTTCAAGGCACCACTGAAATTATTACAATAACATCTTTTACACTGAAATTATTACAATAACATCTTTTATACTGAAATTATTACAATAACATCCTTTATACTGAAATTATTACAATAACATCTTTTACACTGAAATTATTACAATAACATCTTTTATACTGAAATTATTACAATAACATCTTTTATACTGAAATTATTATAATAACATCTTTTACACTGAAATTATTACAATAACATCTTTTACACTGAAATTATTACAATAACATCTTTTACACTGAAATTATTACAATAACATCTTTTACACTGAAATTATTACAATAACATCTTTTACACTGAAATTATTACAATAACATCTTTTACACTGAAATTATTACAATAACATCTTTTACACTGAAATTATTACAATAACATCTTTTACACTGAAATTATTACAATAACATCTTTTATACTGAAATTATTACAATAACATCTTTTACACTGAAATTATTACAATAACATCTTTTATACTGAAATTATTACAATAACATCTTTTATACTGAAATTATTACAATAACATCTTTTATAATTATTACAATAACATCTTTTATACTGAAATTATTACAATAACATCTTTTATACTGAAATTATTACAATAACATCTTTTATAATTATTACAATAACATCTTTTATACTGAAATTATTACAATAACATCTTTTATACTGAAATTATTACAATAACATCTTTTATAATTATTACAATAACATCTTTTATACTGAAATTATTACAATAACATCTTTTATAATGAAATTATTACAATAACATCTTTTATAATTATTACAATAACATCTTTTATACTGAAATTATTACAATAACATCTTTTATACTGAAATTATTACAATAACATCTTTTATACTGAAATTATTACAATAACATCTTTTATACTGAAATTATTATAATAACATCTTTTACACTGAAATTATTACAATAACATCTTTTATACTGAAATTATTACAATAACATCTTTTATACTGAAATTATTACAATAACATCTTTTATAATTATTACAATAACATCTTTTATACTGAAATTATTACAATAACATCTTTTATACTGAAATTATTACAATAACATCTTTTATAATTATTACAATAACATCTTTTATACTGAAATTATTACAATAAC